GCTGCTGTGGCTGGAGCACTCGGGGAAGGAGCTCTGTGTTTATCTCCATCTCCAGGAAAGGATCTCGGGGCAGAGCAGGCTCTATATTAGGCTGTTTCATTGCCTGTCAGCGCTGCTAAAGCTGAGCTGAGTCTCCAGATAAGCAGGAGCAGAGCCCATTTTGCATGTACATGCGTTTGCATTAGTTCAGAGAGGGGCAGTTTAAATCCTCTTTATTTTTATTTTCCTCTGTGGGAAGCGTTTAGCTAGGCTTGTTCCTGGCATCTGGAGGCCTGGGTTTTTCCTGTCCTTGAACCTAAATCTGTGCTGCTGCCTTCTCTGCCGTGGCTTTGATTTTGTTAGAGGAGGAGGAGGAAGGTGTTTGAGTTCAGAAGGGAGGCCCAGGAGCATCCCTGTGCTAAAACACACACCGAATTCCATATTTGGGACTGATTTTGTACCATCTGTGCCTCGGGTTCTTCTGTACACAAACCTTGAGTGACATCTGCCAGCTCCAGTGTCTCCAAAGCGAGCTGTGCTGGGTGTTTGGGGGAGGCCAGGCTGTCTGTGCRTGTCGGAGGGGGATTTGGAGATCCAAATGAAGCAGGTGTGTAATGTCCTCTGTCTGTTGGAAAGACTCAAGCCATAAAAATAACAAACGGCGTGTATTTGCTAGAATGTCAAAGTTATGAGTTTATTTTGTAATGATGTGCTCCTGCCTTCATGAGGTAAACTGGCCGTGGCAGAGGTGTTATTAGTAATATGGAGGCAGCGGAGCAGAAAGCCGAGTGACCGAGAGATCAGTGTATCAGTCAGGGAGAGGGCAAATGGGAACAGACAGCAGCAGAATGAGCAAAGAGTGGAGCTGCCAGGGCTGGGATCACAGCTGGGGCTATGCAGGAGGGTGAGGAGCTCTGCCTGGCCTTGCCCAGCCTCCCCAGACAGCTGTTTTTAGAGGTTCATATGGGTCCACCCTGCAGTTTTCATGGAGCAGTTTGGGGTTAGGGAGCTGAGCTGGGCTCAGCACTCAGGGGCTTTGGTCACTCACAGGCTCTGCTGCTGCTTGGGGAAGGGCAAGTGGGAAAACTGCCTCAGTTTCCCCTCTGTGTCATCCCTTTGGGAATTGTAGAATCCAGAATGGTTTGGGTTGGGAAGAGCCTGAAAGATCCCATCCCACTCCCCTGCCATGGCAGGGACACCTCCCACCATCCCAGGGTGCTCTGAGTCCTGTCCAGCCTGGCCTTGGGCACTCCAGGGATCCAGGGACAGCCACAGCTGCTCTGGGTACCCTATGCCAGGACCTGCCCACCCTCCCAGCCAAGAATCCCTTCCCAGTGTCCCATCCATCCCTGCCCTCTGTTCCCTAGGGATCATTATCCATTCCCAGCARAGTGAAGCTCTTACCTGCCCCCAGGCCTTGGGAAGGTGTGCTCTGGGAGGTTTCCTGCCTCCCCTTCATGCCCAGGTGATGCAGGGATGGTTTGTGTACACCCTGCTCACATCCTGCACTGAGGTTTTCCCTTTTTCCTTTCCCCAGGTGCTGGGACGGGAAGTTTACACCTCCAACAACCAGCTGGGAGGGATCCAGATCATGCACAACAACGGGGTGACCCACGACACGGTCTGTGATGACTTTGAAGGGGTTTACACCATTCTGCAGTGGCTTTCCTACATGCCAAAGGTAATTCCTGGGCCTGCAGGGGCCCAAGATGCCAGTGCCTGTTCTTCTTTGCAGTTTTTTGGGAAAGGGAGCTCTAAATCCTTCAATAATTTTCTTTTTTATTTAGAACACTCACAGCCCTGTTCCCATGCTCAAAGCCAAGGATCCCATAGACAGAACCATCGATTTTGTTCCCACCAAGACCCCCTACGACCCTCGCTGGATGCTGGCTGGACGCCCCAATCCAAGTATGGCCAGGAGATGCAGCAGCTCCTCTTCTTTTACATATCTGCATTCCAAACATATTCCAGAATCCATAAAATAATTAGTTCCATGCTTTGGAATATAAATATAAATATAAATATAAATATAAATATAAATATAAGTATAAATATAAATATAAATATAAATAAAAATATAAATATATAAAGATTTCTGTATAATGATATTACTAGATTATATTATTTAATCTGTAATATCTAAAAGCAGCATCTAAATCCCGAGTGCTCAAGGACACCTACAATTAATACTTTTACAGGTGATATATTTACTTAGAATAGTTATTTTTATAGATTTTTTTTTTTAGGATTTAGGGGGAAATCCACCCACAAAGGGTTTGTGTGTTAAAGGAATCACAACATTCCTGCAGATCTTTGGGAATTGTTGTGTTGGCACCACTGGGGTTGTGTAGGTACGAGCTGCAAACCGGGTGACCATTACTTCTGCTGTTATTAATGAGTTTGGGGGGCTAAAATGAGATTTGTGATAAACTAAGTTTTCTGGTTTTGGATAATATTTTTTCATCATCTCTCAAGCAATTCATCCAGCTGTCTGGGCRCAGCAAACGCCGGCTTCCAAATCGAGTGACTTCAGATTTTAATTTAGTGGAAGCGTTAAGGAAAGCAGATGATTCCCTGTGATAAGTTAAAGCAGATATCTCCTAGGTGAAAAGTTAAAGCCATTTATTAGAGGAGATATTGCCGTGATATTCTTCAAACTGACGCCCGACACGAGGCCGGAATCTAAACGATCAGCTTTGGGCTCGCGATAAAGAGATAATTTTGAAATGGATGGTCACATTTTACAGTGGGGCCACGGAGGCAAGGAATGTAGAACACAGTAATTACAAGTTTGGGCTTGATAAAACACTCTCCATCCTGTTTAAGTCAGCAGAGGTTAGCGTGCTCGGATCTCCACTTTTTAATTGGTTTTGGACTTGGGTTTGCAGAAGCAGAGGTGCTTGTTCAGAGGAAAGAGTTCCTYGGGAGCTCTGTGCCAAGGGGTGAAGCTGGGAGGGATTTGGGGTTTTGGGGGGATTTTTTTGGTGGTTTTTTTTTCTTCCCAAAGCCCCAGTACAAAGCAGGAGCCCCCAGAGAGTTGTGATTTCTGTGATTGACTCTGGGTTCTAAAATATCATTGAAATTTTCATATTTAGTTCCTGGGTTTCTTCAGCATTCCCCTTTCAAGGAAAGACTAGGCAGGATCAGGAGAAGAATATGAGATAAGTTTTAAAATAGAAATAGGTGTTTTGAAAAACACCTTTAATGACTTTACTGCCTTTTGACAAATGTTTGCAGTCTTGAAAAAAGCAGAGTTATTTATTTAAAAGCATGGGAAGTCCCTCTGCTCTCCGAACCCCATCGTTTAACAATAAATGATGCTTTTGCTGATAAATTGCTGTCTTTATGCAGACTAGGAAATGAAATAAGACATGATGGCTGAAGGCAGACAAATGCTCAGCTGTCTAATGTTCCCTTGTATTGTCATCTATTTCAAATTAAATAAATAAAAAGACAGTGCCATGTTCTCCAGTTGGCATTTTAAAGCAAGTTTCAGTTGCTGCTTTGATACTCTTGTTTTCTTTCTTCCCTCCCTCCTCCCTGCTCTGATATTTCCTATTTTTCCCTTCCCTTCAGATCAGAARGGGCAGTGGCTGAGTGGGTTCTTCGACCATGGATCATTCATGGAGATCATGCAGCCCTGGGCACAGACAGTCGTGGTGGGGAGAGCCAGGTGAGTCCTGAGAGGTGTTGGAGCCAATTTAGGAATCAAATGTGGGTTATGCTTTGCATTTCTCTAGGACACAGCATCCTGTGGTTATTTCTCTCTCCCTCTYTGTGGATATATATCTATCTAATAGAAAACGTTGGGAAGAAAGGGATGAGATGACCTTTAAGGTCCTTTCCAACCCAGCCCATTCCATGGCTCTGTAATTCTATAATTTAAAGGCTTCCAGGCTAAGCAGTGTGCCAGGGGGTGGAAATCAATGATTTGGCAAAGCCAGAAGCTCTCTGTCCATGCTCAGCTTCACTTGCAGTTCCTTTCTTCTGACAAATTTCGAGTGCCTTCGGACTCTCACACAGCAGGGATATATAACACAAATGAAACAGACTCCTCTCAAAAGCAGTGGCACTTTGAAAAAAAAAAAAAAACAAATACGAATGTATTCTTCTGGGATTGTTACTGTAAGTGCTGCCAAAACTCATCTCTTGTATGTATGTTTGGAATATGTGTGCTGTTGGCTGTAAATTGTCTTTTATTATTCTATGGCAACTTGTCCAGGGACACACTATAAAACAAGATGTAGCATCTTCATGTGCTAGCCTGATAAAATTTATATGAAGTATTATGGAAAACAGAAGTTGTTTTGAGCTGTTTTCAAGTTCAATAAATAACTGTAATACTTGGATAAAGATGTTCTTTATTAGGTCACATGGGCCCTAATACACAAGTTATAAGTTACCGATTTAAGACGGCTTCTGCAATTACRGGGTTCCAGCAGACCCTTCATCACGGGCACTGGGAATATTCCCAGCCCCTCAGCACACATGGGCCCTGGCTGTTCCCTGCCTGTCGGTGTGAAATCAGCCTGGGATGGCTGGGGAGGGGCTGGGGGTTCTGCTGGCACTGTCCTGGGGGTGTGGGCTCGGTGGTTT